CTTCCATACAGCACGATGTTCATTTAGTAAATGATGGTCCCATTTAGAGTAAAATAGACCATAAAGCAGTGTATGTTTTAGACCACGACTTACCAATAAAACTACAAATCCTTTCAAAACTTGAATACAAATCAGACGCCGCTGAGTCGGCCACCGGGATGTTGAGGACGGTCTGGTTCCCCTTTATGGATCTCGATCTGAAAAGGATTAAAAAAGAAACATCCCTGATTGATGTGTTGACATAGAGACTTTTCTCTGTAATGATATTTCAGATATTTAGTCCGGCTTTACTCCGCGGTGTCGCTCTGTGAGATGCTGATGACGGCGCTGATTTTAAGGTCTCTGAGGATGCTGGAGTCCAAGCCCTGGTTCTGGTCCCCCATATACAGCAGCCCTGCTATGATCTCCACCGGATACATCTTCAGGTTCTCCAGCTCCTGAAATCGTCCAGAAATATTGTGTTTATCAGCAGCAATTTGAGTGACTTTTGAGGGGAAAAAATGCAAATCTGTACTATATATTAGTGAAAATTGATTATTAACCAGATAAAATGGACAAATTTAAATTTTAAATACATGGAAATATTAATAAAATGGAAAAAACAACAACATGTAAAATAACATGAAGAATCTGTAACTGTAAATAATCATAAAATGACTGCTTATTTTAAGAACATTTTAATCTTTTCACATAAACAATACATTTGCAATTTATTTACTGTTTATTTAATAGTTTAAATTGTTAAATTCAAGTTTAATACTGTTAATATATTTCTAAAATTATGTAAAATGACACAATTAACAGTAAAAAAAAGTATTGTTATATATTTTATATAAATTATTATTAGTATTATTACATATTTGTTCTGTAATTTTGTTTGTTGTTCATGTTTCTACATTTAAAAATCTTGTTTTGTTTAATAAAATCTGATGTATGTTCTCAATTTCAATACTTTTATTTTAATTATTACGGTTTGTTGATTTTATATAACCTTTAAGCTCAGGTTGGACAGATTTTAAGGAAGTGGATTATTTGAAGATACTCAAAGAAATTACATTAATATGAGCAAAAATATGAATGTAGGCACTTTCAAATGTTAACAGCTGTACAATTTATATTTATTTACAGGAAGTGGCTGCAATCTCATCTATAAACTTCTGTGCAATCTGCAATCTAAGAGAATAACTTCCCTATAAACGCTGCTTCTGTGTGGCTTATAATGTTGTTGATAATTTCTTACTAAGTTGGTTAAACACAGAAACAGAAAACAGAGTGAATTTACCAGCATTTGGCTACCTTTGCATCCTGGTATTGAAACAAATTGCTTTAGACAAAGAAATGATGGTTCTTGTATTTGGTATCTTGCTAATGGGTGTTAAATAGGTTATTATAATGAGTGTCAACACCACCAAGCAACAGTGTATGAATCACTCGGTCCATGGGTCTCACCGTGATGGTGTAGAGGATTTTCTCCGTCCTTAGGAAAGGGTACAGAGCCGAGAACCTCTGAAAGCCTCCTCTCACTATGTGGACTGGATATTGGCTAGCTTCAGCGAGGGCCTGGGCGCATTCAGCCGCTCTGCCTGCAATAAGAAACACAACGGATAGACGTCAGTGTGCAGACATTAGTGGAGCCTAAAGGGAAGCTTTCCTCTGCCACAGCACAACCCAGAAGTGGACATATTTCAACTCCTGTGGGCTGATTTTGAGTTAATATTTTGGCAATTCATATACTTTATAGATTGGGATTGCATTGTTAAAGCTCAGCGCCATGTGAATGTTCAGTATTCTTGTTATATTAAGATATTTCTTCAGTTTTACTTGAGTTTTTTTGCTGCTCAACATTGTGTTTTTGAGTAGTTACTGCTCACTTTTTACATATTGGTTTATTGTTTCAATGCATATATATGATAGAACAATGAGAAGAAAAAACTGAATTCTTCAAAAAAGAAGCCTATTAAGTCTGTATGACTGTTAGAAAAGAAGAAAACACACAATACAGACAGAGAATTCTACACAAATAGCAGGACAACCCATCCCTAATCAATATTCACAAGAAATAATCTGCTTAAATTCCTCCAACCGTTTGTTTTACGCAGATTTCCTGCAGTATTTGTGTTCAATATTTGGGTTCATTTGACAGGTTTATTGCAGTTCTAACATATAACAGAAACCTATAATATCCCTGGAATACACCACTTAGTCAGTTTAATCAATGATAGAAAAAGGGTCCTCAGCCTTACCTTCCTCCTCCAGAGAGCTCGTGTTGCTGTCGTAGACGACCACATGCTGCATGCTGTCCACCTCCACAGCGTCCGGCAGGAGGAAACAGCCCTCTGAATCCTGGAAAGAGTCGCCCAGAAAGTGTGTGTGTGTGTGAGTGAGTGACGCACAAACATGCGAATCCCAGAAACCCTGAGAGAGAGAAAGCTAGAACTGTATGCAAGGCTGCCTACCAATCTTCTTTCTGTTGTAGTGGACCAATGATGTCGTCACCGTTTTTAATATTTTGGCCCGTTATGATGTGACCATTCTGTACATCTTGGGTTTCACGAGCCATCTAGAAGGAAGAGCACCACACAATATGTCATATCTGCAGGCTATGGGGGGGGGGGGTCTCTCACGTCAAAACAATAACAAAAGAGGAAGTTTGATGACGTGGTGAGATGGTGGTGGATGGTGTGGGATCATGGAGTGCGTGCTGAGGATCCCTTCAGGTGCCGAGCTGCTGCTAACGTTAGCTCAGGCTTGTTTCTCTGAGGTAACTTAAGATCCAGACGTCCCGATGGACTAAAATCCTTCATCCGGTTCAAACCTAGAGTTAAAAGCACCGAGATCTAAACAGTGGGAGGTAACAATGATGCTTCAGACTGGATAAACAGTCAATGTATGACGCCGCTCGACAGGCGACTGCGTGAAAGGAGATTTCCTCTGAGTTTGAACATTGTTGGAAACATTGTAGAATAATGCTAATTAATGCTTACATATGCTGCCAGGAGGTTTAATGGCAGAATTGTTACAGACTACAGCCTGTTAAAACTTGTCTGTAACTATCCCATCTCTTACCAATCACAACAGGGGGAAGTTGATCTCTGCCGAGCCGTCGACCGCGCTGCTGGCCTGGTTGAGAGGAGATTAAAGAGCTCACCATGGTTCAAACATC